TGGAAGGCTGAGGCGGAAGGATCTTCGGAGCCCAGCAGGTCGAGGTTGCAGTGGCCAGGAGTGGCCACTGCACTCCAGTCTGGGTGACAGAGTGAGAGGCCAAGGCAGAGGATCGCTTGAAGCCAGGAGCTCGATTAGGCCTGCCTGGGCAACATAGCAAGACCTCATCTCTGCAAAAATTAAAAAACAATCAGCCGACTGTGGTGGTGCCTACCTGTAGTCCCAGCTACTTGGGAAGCTTAGGCAGAAGGATCGCCTGTGCCCAGGAGCCCGAGGCTACAGTGAGCTGTGATTGTGCCACTGCATTCCAGCTTGGGCAGTGGAGTGAGACCCTGACTCAAAAAACTTAAAAAAAAAAAAAAAGATTTTGTGACATTCAGAGGTCTCTGCCAGTACTCCTGACATCTACAAGTACACTCCAGTCAAGAAACCAGTAAAACCAGTAAAACAGCTCATTTGTTGTTCTCGAGAACTCTGTGGAGGTTTTAAAAAAAGGGAGTGGGGAGTTGTTATGATTCCCAATTCACAGATATGCAAACTGAGAAATGAAGATAGGGTTTCAAGGTCATCCAGTCACTGGTGGGTTTGGAACTGGAAGTCTGGTTTCTATTCTAGTGCTTTGGAGGCTCAGGAGTTGGAGGCTCAGGAAAGACACCACTTGGGTGTTGGGGTCTGAGGAATCAGAACGAGCACCTACACTCTCTCTGCTGTGACAAACGCCCGATTCTATTCAAGCTCTGCTCCCAGGAACAGACTCTCAGCAAATGGGTACCGGGACCTCATCTGAAAAGACCTTTTGCCAGCCCAATTCTGTCCAGCCTCAGGGATGCTAGAAGCTCTGGAACTACTCACGGTGAGGGTCAGTGAAGGAGACCCAGCTCCAGCTGGCCTCCATGCTCAGACCCTCGCTTGTCATCTGATGATGTTCTCAGCTAATGTCGGTTCCCTGCGCTGTGGAGTGTGATTTTTAAGCAGACTGTCTTTCCTCACTCCCGAAGCTGAGAGGGACTGTGGCTTACTCTCACCCTAGTGCAGCCTCCTGGGCCCATTCAGGGTTAAATAAATGCTCATGGCTGGGCGTGGTGGTTCATGGCTGGGCATGATGCATGCCTGTAATCCCAGCATTTTGAGAGGCCGAGGCTGGAGGATTGCTTGAACCCAGAGTTCAACACCAGCCTGGGCAACATAGTGAGACCTCGTCTCTACAAAGAAAAAGAAAAAAAACCAGGCTCGGTGGCTCAGCCTGTAATCCCGCGCCTTTGGGAGGCTGAGGTGAGTGGATTGCCTGAGCCTGCGGGTTCGAGACCTGCCTGGGCAGCGATACCTCATCTCTACAATAAATCAAAAAATCAGCCAGGTGTGATAGCGCATGCCTGTAATTCCGGCTACTTGGAAGGCTGAGGCGGAAGGATCCCCGGACCCCAGAAGGTCGAGGCTGCGGTGGCCGGGAGCGGCCACTGCACTCCAGTCTGGGCGACAGAGTGAGACTCCAACTCAAAAAAAAAAAAGAAAAAGAAAAAGAAAAAAAAATTTAGCCGGGTGTGTTAGTGTGTGCCTTGTAGTCCCAGCTACTCAGGAGGCTGAGGGAGGAGGTTCACCTCAGCCCAGGAGGTCAATGCTGTAGTGAGCCATGATCATGCCACTGAACTCTAGCATGGGTGACAGAGGGAGACCCTGACTCAAATATAAAATAAAATAATAAAATTACTGAGGGTGGTGGTGATTCTGATGAGGCTTTTGTATGAAGGAATTAATAACAACAACAAAAACAATAGAAAACACACATTTGGTATGCCAGGCACTGTACCAAGAAGTGGAGATCCAGTGACTAAAAGATGAGCTTTCTGACTCTGAGAAGTTTCTAGGCTAGTGGGGGAGCTCAGCACACTGAGACTGCCTGGAAAAGTCCAGGAGGACTTCCGAGAGGAGGTGGCTTTGTGCAGAGACTGAGGAGGATGAGAGTCTACCAGGAGGGTAAGGGTGGGGAGCAGGTTCTTGGTTGGGTAAGCAGCACCTACAGAGGTGTGGCAGTGTGACTGAGAGCGGCTGCGTCTGGGAACCTTCTGTTCTGTGTGGCTAGAGTGTTGGGCTGTTTTCCAGGATGGCCTGTCCACATTGGATGTGTGGCTTGGGTGTGCCAGCATTCCTTTCTTTCACCCTGTTTTCACTGATTCTGCCAACATCGATCACTCACCCATGTGTGCCAGGTGCTGGTGGGACACTGGGCTGCAGAGATGAGCACTTGCCCTTATGAGCTCTCAGGGGAGCCAGATGAGGGCTTGGGCTTCATCAGCAGTACAGCGTGTTGGGCAGGGAGAACTGATCTGGGGGTGGGTGGGGTCATTGTCTGGGGTGGCTGTGACACGTTGCCACAAACAGTGGCTTCAGACTACACTACTTTATTATTGTATAGTTCTGGAAGTCAGAAGTTCAAAGTCAGACTCATTGGGCCAAAACCAAATTGTAAGCAGAGCTGGTTTTTTGAGGGGACTCTAGGGGGGCCTTTCCCTCTTTTTTCCAACTTCTGTAGGGACCGTATTCTTGCCTACTCTTGCACGCAAGCCTCTGCTTCTCCTCATGCCCCCTCTCTCTGGCCTCTTGCCTCCTTCTTATAAGAACCCTTGCGATTATTCTGAGCCCACCGGGATCATCTCCTGTCTAAGCATTCCTTTTATTTGATATGTGTGTGTGTGTGTGTGTGTGTGCGCGCGCGTGTGTGTGTGTGTGCGTGTGTGTGTATCTTTAATTAATTAATTTATTTTTTGAGTCAAGGTCTCACTCTGTTGCCCAGGCTGGAGTGCAGTGACATGGTCACCACTCATTGCAGCCTTGACCTCTTGGGTTCAGGCAATCCTTCAGCCTCAGCCTCCTGAGTTGCTGGGACTACAGGTGTGCTCCACCATGCCCAGCTAATTTAAAAAATCTTTTTGTAGAGACCAGGTCTCACTGTGTTGCCTAGGCTGGTGTTGAACTCCTGAGCTCTAGCAATCCTCCCGCCTCAGCCTCCCAAAGTGCTGGGATTACAGGTGCGAGTCACCAAAGTCAGCCCTCTGAATGCAGTGTTTTTAGGGACAGGTTAGCAAGAATATAATGTTCAGGTTGCTGATTCTAATTTATAGATCTTTCCATCAGAGATGCCAGGGAATTTTTTGTTTATGTAAGTCTGAAGAAAATCTAACACTGAATGGTTTTATTGGCTAGAATAAGACTCATGTTCAGCTTGGTTTACAAACAGAAAAGGTGATTTCGAGGGTTCAGGAGGAGAGGCCCATGCTGCTAACTAAGATTCTTCTCAAGGGCCACCCCTGCAGCTGGGGACTTTGAAGAATGACATTCCTGTTCTGTGATTTACCTTGAGTTTTCCAACATAGAGCTTGAGCAGTTGAGCCCCCACTAGGGGAGGACTGCCTGCTACAGGTGGTAGGTAATTAAGTTTGTCATCCCTGAATACCTGATTGACTCAACAGCCAGGCTGCTCCATGACATAGACCGTAATAAGAATTAGAGTGATAAAGCGAGAACAAGGTTGGAGTGCAATGGCCGTTCGTTGCTGCCCAAGACAGACCTCTGTAACGCATAATACATTCCATGTGCGATGCTACCCCGGACTTCCTGCCATCAAAAAACAGGCTTCAGCTTAATATGTGTATTTCCAGGGTAATGAAATTGCTCATACAGAGAACAGGGACCTTAGGGAATTCTATGCATCCCCCAAACTAGAAGAAATTTCCTTTCTGATGACTTCTTATTGGAAACAATAGAAGAAAAATTCTATTACTAATAGATCAAGAGTGGTTACATCAAGTCATCACATTTTTCATTAGGAAAGACATTTAGGATCTCTCTCTTTTTTTGAAGTTAGAGTCTCACTCTGTTGCCCACACTGGAGTGCAGTGGCAAAATCATGGTTCACCACAGCCTTGACCTCCTGGGCTCAGGTGATCCTCCTGCTTAAGCCTCCTGTGTGTCTGGGACTACAGGCATACATCACCAAGCACAGCTAAATTTTGAATTTTTGTTTTGTAGAGACGAGGTCTTGCTATGTTGCTCAGCCTGGTGAATCTTTTTGCTTCGGCCTCCCAAAGCTCTGGGATTACAGATAGGAGACACCACGCTCACTACACCTGGCCAGGATGTATTTTTATTATTGTTACTTTTTTTTCAGAAAATCTTGTTAATGGACACACAGCATCACTCATTGTTTCCTTCCCTTATTACGGTCACTTTTGTTTTTCTTTATCTTTACTAGTAATAGTCTTCAGAAACCCAAATCTACTTCCTGTAGCTAATTTTTGTCTCTTCTCCCTGATAACTAGCTCATCCTTCTTTCTCTTGTTTTGTGATAAGAAGGACTTTTTAAGTCTTTAGATGTCCACTCTTCTCTGTTCTTGGCATTAACTTGCACTTGAACTTGGATAGAGTAGCTGGTGTCCCTCTCCTGTCTATTTCCTCTCCGGGTTGAACAATATGTCTGTTTGTAAATATGGTGATTTGTTGTGTTTCTTACACATTGTTTAAACAAGGAAGCGAAAGAGGAGGTGGATTATAAATAAAAGAAAGATGACTTTCTGATTTGAACGCTTGTTGAAAAATGTAAGCATTTCAAATTTAATCAATATTTTATTTTTTTTGGCCTGGTGCAGTGGCTCATGCCTGTAATCCCAACACTTTGGGAGGCCAAGCTGGGAGGATTGCTTGAGGTCAGGAGTTTGAGATCAGCCTGGATAACATAGTGAGACTCCATTTCTGTTAGTTTTTTTGTTGTTGTTGTTTTTGCTGTTAAAAAGAGCTGAGACTTCTGGTGCTCATTTTTCAGAACTCACATGGGTACTACTAGCAACTGATCAGATTCCCTGACTGCAGGCTTGGTGAACCAGCATTTCATCTTCACACTTGAAAGCTTGACTCCAGGAAGACATCTGTGATTTGTTTCTGACAAGTTCTATGCTTTGTGTTTGTAAACATGCTCTCTCTCCCCTCTTCCCCACCCGCCTCCCCAGTGGCCGTTCCCGCGGCAGCGCCGGTGTGCCAACCCAAGAGTGCCACTAACGGGCAGCCTCCAGCCCCGGCCCCAGCTCCGGCTCCGCGCCTGTCGATTTCCTCCCGAGCCACAGTGGTAGCCAGGATGGAAGGCGCCTCCCAGGGGGGCCTGCAGACCGTCATGAAGTGGAAGACAGTGGTTGCCATCTTTGTGGTTGTGGTGGTCTACCTCGTCACTGGTGGTCTTGTCTTCCGTGCGCTGGAGCAGCCCTTTGAGAGCAGCCAGAAGAACACCATCGCCCTGGAGAAGGCGGAGTTTCTGCGAGATCACGTCTGTGTGAGCCCCCAGGAGCTGGAGACCCTGATCCAGGTGAGCAGGGGCTGAGGCCCCCCCAAAACCCCCTGACAAGAGGGGTGGCAGCTCTAATGGAGTCCTTCTGGGCCACCGAAGCTTGCCTTTGGTGGGGACGCCCATGGTGGTCAGTGAAGTCCTCTCTGGGGAGGTGATTTTTGAGCTGAGACCCCAAAGATGCCAGAGAGGAAGGCATGTGACAGGGTCGGGGGAAGAGGGTTCGTGAATGCAGAGGCCCTGATGCAAGAGTGGGTTGTGCTCTGCATTTCCTAGCTTGGGATGGATGGCAAAGGGGGCAAAGGCCAGGGGGCCTTGGGCTTTCAAAGTCAAGTCCATTAATGAAGGCTGATCGATGCCCTGCTTCTGAACTCTCTGCAGAACATGGGGATCAAAGGGTGCTCCAGAAGCAAAAGGGACCTGTTCCAGGTCATTGAGGGTGAAGTGGAGAAAAGGCCACCGGGTATGTAGGTGAGGAGGCTCTCAGTGGCCAGAGAATGCCATTTTAGGGGATTTATGGGGATGGAATCACAAAGCTAACAATAATAGTAATGATTGTTTGCTGTTTTTGAATATCGACTGTGTACCAGGTCTTTACATACCCTGGACATTCAGGGAAAAAATTCCATGAGAAAGTGGATGCATAGAATGGGATACAGCCTAAAGAAGCCAGGTGACACAATACTATGAGTAGAGGTGGGCTAGCAGGGCTGGGCCGTGGCAGGAAGGGCTGTGGGAAAGGTAGTGTCATCTGAGGCTGTGTGGTAGGAGGGAATGGAATGGGAGGCATGGGAGATCTGGGAAACCTGAGAGAAATCCTGTGCCCATGGGGAAGAAAGGGGTGTGATGGGGAGCCCGGGAGTTGAAGACCCTGATCCAGGTGAACAGGGGTTGAACCCACCATAGGACCCTCTGGCTCTGATTGAGTTTGTCTGGGTCACTGAGTTTTGCCTTTGGTCGGGACGCTGTTAGAAGGTGTCTGAGCTTGTTCATACATCTGTTGATTAAGTCACAATTAATCTCCTTCATGAAAGAGCTTGGAGGCTGAGGAGTGAATGAAGAATGGGCTGGGGAGTGTGAAGGTCCTGATTATGGTGCTGCCAGTTAAGATGTATCCCCTGTGTTGACCTCAAATATTTCTCTGTGAAATGAGGTGTGTGTCTGTGCATGTGTGTGTGTCTGTGTATGAGCATGTGTGCATTTGCGTGAAGGTGTGCACATGTGCACATGTGTGAGTGTACTTAAAATAATTTTATAGGCCGGGTTCAGTGGCTCAGCCTATAATCCCAGCACTTCGGGAGGCCGAGGCGAGTGGATTGCCTGGGCCCATGGGTTCAAGACCGGCCCAGGCAACTTAGCCAGACCTCATCTCTACAATAAATAAAAAACTGGCAGGTAGTACAGGGTAGTGCACGCCTGTAGTTCTGGCTATTTGGAAGGCTGAAGTAGAAGGATCACCAGAGACCAGCAGGTTGACACTGGGGTGGCTGTGAGCTACTGCACTCCAACCTGGGCAATTGAGTGAGACTCCAACTAAAAAAAAAAAAGAGGTAATTTTATAACAGTTTAATGGCATATTACTCAGCCATAAAGAAGAACAATATTATGGTCTTCGTAGCAAATTGGATGGAGTTGGAGACCATCATACTAAGTGATCTATCACAGAACCAAATAACTGAATACCACATGTTTTCACCCATGAGTGGGACCTGAGCATTAACCACATTAGCACAAGGGAAGGATCAGCAGTTGCTAGGCACTGCCAGGGGAGGGAGGAGGGGCACATGACACTCAAAGGGTACCTGCTCCCAAACCAGGGGAAGTAAGGCCAGTTGGAGGCCCAAACTTCATCTGCATGCAGCATACTTGTATAGCTAATCCTGACTTGTATCCCACATCTCTATAATAAAATAAAATCAAAAACAAACAAAAAGGATAATTTTAGAACAATTTGAAAAGCTACCCCTTTTTTTAAACCTCTGTTATGAACTGTTATGAACTATTGACCAAAGAGGCCAAACAGTATAAAATATTTAAGATGCATTATTCTGAGACAAATGTGAGTGACACCCATCCTTGGGAGGTCCTGAGTATGTGTGCCCACTGTGGTTGACTGTAACTTGGATAGACATTTTAGGAAGACAAAAATTACAAGAAACCATGAATTAAAACATGTGAGATTTATATTGGTTCAGACAAGGAAGGCAGGGTATCTCTAAGCCAGGGCTTGCAGATTATAGGTGAGTTCCAAGATTTCCTGACTGGCAACTAGTTAGCAAGAATGACCTAAGGAATTTAGAAAACAGTAAAGAAATGGGCAGCTTGAGAAACGATGAGGGAGCCTAGTTTCTTGATGTGTAGATGAAGCCTAGAGGAGGCAGACTTCCGAGAGCTGGTAAGTGCCTAGCATGCCCAAGAGATAGCTTTGCAGGGTGATAAAAGTACTTGGATTTTTCTTTTTCATCTGTTACATGATATTATGTCCGAACCCGGTTGGAAAGCAAGCCATGTTAAATAATTAATTAAAACAAACAAACAACAACAACAAAACACACCTGTCTCTCTCTCCAGGCTCCTTAGTTAGGAATTTGACAAAGTAAAGAAAAAAAAGGCAGAGTTTAGTCCTCTGCACCATATACCCAATATCTCATTTAATCTTTCCAACAGTGCTCTCAGCCCAGCCTCCCATTTTACGGGTAAGGAGACTGATGCTGAAAAAGACTGAGTAACTTTCCAGTCACTGGAGTGACAGAGCTAAGATTCAAAGTTAGCTCTGTCTGACTCGACACTCTCTTGCCCAGTGAGTCTTGCTTTAAGTAGGTCTTGCTTTATAATAAGCTCCCCTTTCTTGTAAACATTTGCTTTATGTTGAACGCTTTCCAGAATCTCAGCAGTCAAAAATGGCTGGCGTCCCTGGCTCCCTTGCAGGAAGCGTTTCTCGGTTTCTCCTCCCTTTATCTATTGAGTGTCAGTCCTGGATGTGGGGTGCTTTCAGATTTTTCTGATTTACTATGATTTAAAGATTTATACATGTGTTTATATACAGTCTTTCTCACAATGTCAGTGAAGCAGAATCTGAATCTGCCTCCGTCAACAGTCAAATCATGATGCTTTGCCCTTCAGTTCACTGATAGCGTCATGATGGTGAAAGCATTCACACTGTGTGCCTCTGAGCAGCGCTGCGTATAGTGTTCACAAGAAGCACAACCTTAGAAATAGTTTGTCTTTCCATCTGGAAGAGCCTTCCATGGGCTGTGTTCTAAACTGGAAAGCAGTATGATCGTATCTCACCTAAGTCTGAAAGGAGTGACAGTGGGTAGAAGGTAGATTGATGGTCATGTTTCTTGGCTGGATTGAGCGAACCTCTCATAAGGCCTAGCTGGAAGGTGTGATTCATGTTACCAATAACAAAAAGAGAGGACCCAGAAGATCACATTCCCCACAAGCTGCCTGGATAGCTTAGCAGAGCTGCAGCTGGGAAGGGGTCTTTTGATAAGTTAAACCACTTTATGGGGCACTGTGGGACCCTAGAAGAGATTGCTAGGTCACTGTCCCTGGAAGGTAAGGAATGATGGGTTGCTGTTATGGAGGGAACTGGCTTATTCATTCATGTTGCCATTCATTCACTCACCTGTCCACCCACTCATTCTCAGAATTGCCATTGACTTTCTGCTGTGTCAGGTAACATGTCCAGTGCTGGGGAAGAAAGAGTAAGACAAATTTTGAGCATGTTACTCACCTCTCTGTGCTCCAGTTTCATTATCAAACCTTGGCTAAAATCTAGAATCCCCTGACCTTGGGGTGCTGAGAGGGTTAGATGCAATCATTCATAAGAAGGCTTTGAGCTGTGCTTGGCACATGGTGCATGCTCTAAAGGGCACTTACTGCTGTTGCTGCTGTTAGTGTTATCCAAGCAGCTCAGAGTTCCAAGCAGGGGCAGTTGGCAATGTCTGGAGACATTTTTGGTTGTCACAGCTGGGGAGAGGCTGCAGACATCTGGTGGGTAGAGACCAGGGATGCTGTTAAACATTGTCCAAGGCACAGCATAGCCTGGCCTCCCTTCCCAGAGAATGATCCTGAGATGCCTGGAGGAGGAGGCATGTGAACCAACAGTTAGAGACCTGCCTGGGCAACTTGGCGAGACCTCATTTCTATAATAAAATCAGAAAAATTAGCCGGGCATGATAGCGCACGCCTGTAGTTCCAGCTACTTGGAAGGCTGAGGCGGAAGGATCGCTGGAGCCCAGCAGGTCAAGGCTGCAGTGGCCGGGAACATTCCACTGTACTCCAGTCTGGGTGACAGAGTGAGACTCCAACTCAAAAAAAAAAAGGATTCAATGGAATCGAGCTGTTTGAAAGATGTGAAGAAAAAAAAAAGGAGCCCTGGGCAGGCCAACAGAGATCAGGGAATGTCTCCAGGCTGTTTGTCTCCTGTCTTTGGTGGCCATTTACAGATGAGTAAAAGGGGCAGCAGGAGGTGAACGACAAGCTCAAGGTCACCTGGTTAGAAGCGAGGAGTCCAGGGGTTACTGCCAGGTAATCTGACCATATGTCCAGGCTCTGAACTGCCATACATGCCAAGAGAAATATGAAATCTGGGAGGGGTTTGTCAGAAAGACCATGACTGCAGGGCAGCCCAGCAGCTTGTGTGTGGCCTGTGGTGGAAACAGCATATGGTCAGTGTGACTTGAGCTGAGAGGTGTGGTCAGTGGGGGTAGGAAAGGAGGCTGGGCTGGGTGTGGGGGCTCATGCTTGTAATTCCAACACTTTGGGAGGCTGAGGCAGGAGGATCACTTGAGGCCAGGAGTTTGAGACCATCCTGGGAAACATAGCAAGATTCCATCTCTACAAAAAAATCAAAAAAATTAGCTGAGCATGGTGGTGCCTGTAGTCTCATACCCAGGAGGCTGAGCAAGAAGGATTGCTTAGCTGGGCTTGGTGGCTCAGCCTGTAATCCCGTGCCTTTGGGAGGCTGAGGTGAGTG